GTTTTTTTTTTTTGTTTTTTTTTTTTTTTTTTTTTTTTTTTTGTACTGGAGATAGAATTCAGGACCTTGTGCTTGTGAGGCAGTCGGCGGCCCCACAAGTTGGGTATTTTCATTACTCTATAAAAAGCGGGGAAGGCACGGATATTCAGCATGGCAGGAAAAGTGAACGGGGCTTTTATCTTCTGCCTGTTGCCTACTATCATCTTCTCCCAATTTCCCCATCTGGCATCTAACAGTGGGAAACTCAGTTTCTTTCCAGCTCTGACATACTTGGTATCGACCTCCACTCCCTGAAGATGCATTCCAAACTCCACACCCTGTGAGCCAGGCTACCCTGCTGTGAAAATAGAGGCAGGACCTGCACACACACACACACACACACACACACACACACACACACACACACGAAGGTATCATCAGAAGCACAATCAGATAGGAAAGGTTTCTGCAGAATAATGTCTAGAGTATGTTCTGTTTTGCTAAAATAAATAACAGCATGTGTTTATGTTTTTGGTGCCCTTGGAGAAAAATCTGAATTTCTGAAGGATAAAGGAGGTATTTTACCTTCTATGTTATTTACTTTGGAATTTCATTCACTCAAGAATAACTAATTGAACGTCCAGTGTTTGTATGTCAAGACTGGGAATATGTCAAATAGAGTCTCACATCCTTCGAATTTTATCGTGAGAGCCTTTATTTTTCTAAAACCAGGGGAAAAAAATATCAAAAGTGAACACTAATAGAAACAAACCCTTGAAGAGGTAAACTCTCCACATCACTACCCCACAAATGAAACGCACAGAATGTAGGTCAGTTGAAATAATCTGTTCTAAACTGGAAAAGGGCTTAGCATTAGCACACTTCATTTTTGGTTGTTCCTCTCCCCGATTAGCAGATGATACGCGAACACTGTGCGTACAAGGCCCTGCTGAAGGCAGCGTGACCCCTAAACAGTAGTCCGGAGGGTGACGTCCGGATCTGCCAGACTTTATGCTCCTGTGCTTCCTGCCATTAATTTTGGCCCAGGAGCAGAAGTGAAAGCTCAGAAGCAGACCCACATGTGCTCCTATAAAGACAGGTTGTGGGTGACCCTTCTCAAGTACCTGCCGGAGGCGGCTCCTGACGTCTGAGGCACAGAGCTGGAGCATGTGTAAATAGGAGACCTCGGTGTCAATGAGCTCCCTGATGGCCAGACTCTGCTGGAGCGAGGATCTGTCCTCCAGGCTCTGACCTTTGCCATCCAGGCTCCCGGAGGAGGAGGAGGGCTCGTCCGCCCCACCATGCGCCATGTCTGCAGGTGCTGGAGAAACAAAACCAGCCTGATTCAGTGCCAGGGAGGCCTACTGGGAAAATGTTGTCCTTCATTTGAAGACAATGATTCGTCAAGGGGCCTGAAAACATCGTTAGCTCCAAACAGAGCTGAATGGACTGTTTAGCTTTTATGGGCAGTGCTTGGACAGTACGAGAAGGCAAACAGCTCAGAACATTGCTGACATTTTAAATCACTCTCTGGGATTCAGACAATGTGCTTTCCTGGCTTTTTTGCTATTTTCTCCCCGCTCTTGGCCCAAATTTCTTTATCTGGTCCACCTCAGTCCCTCTCACCCTCTCTCCCAGTGGCTCCCTCCTCCCACTACCCCATGAAGACCTAGAACCTATCACCTGAGCTCTTTCCACAGGCCCCAGGATCCGCCTTCCAAACCCAAGCCTCCTCTCTCCCCCTGCCACCCACACACATTCGTCTTGGACTTGCTTCCAGGCTAACCCCCCTGAAGCAAAGCCTGTGATCACAGTATTCCCTGTTGTAAGACTTTAACAGCTCCCTGCTGCTCAGTGGTCCGTTCAACCTCATTTTCCCCTCCAGCCAGAGCGCAGAGCTTTGCTCCACACCTGGAGAGCTGTTTCATGCCTTGTTATTTTGCACCTGCTGTGCCCTTCCATGTCTCTAACCTGCAACCTTCTTCCTTTCCTGATCCTCCTCGTTCTCACTCTTTAGTTATACTTCTTTCTCTGAAACTCTCACTACCCCCGTTTCTTTCTAAATTGAAAAAATATAAAGTGCAGTAGTGCGAACAAAATGACCTGGAAAACCTTCTTACTTCCAAACACTTAGAAATGCCACACCAGCTATCACACACTTCCCTCTGACTACACGGCAGAGCTTGCAAGAGGTAAAGGAAATCTTGAGAACCAAACCAGGGTGAGTTGAACCAGAGCAGGGAGCAGCTAAGCTTGCGCAGCTGTGGCCTAGAGTGGAGGGGTGGGCGGGGTCAGAAAAAAAGTCCACCGCCCTCACAGAAAGTGACAAAAACACTTCTCCTTCTTGGTGGGGGCCCTACATGAGGAAAAAAACATCTCCAAAAATTTATAACAAGTATAAGAGCAGAAATCAGGTGGCTCCTTTCCTGCCCATCATAAGAGTCATGATCAGCATTCCTGTAACAAAGACAAGTTAACAAGAGAGACGCATAACCAGTGTATTTGGTCATAGTTTTCCGGGGAGGGTTGTTTATTTTGTTACTGGGGATAGGACCCAGGGCCTTCACACTGAACCATATCCCCAGATCTTTACATTTTATTTTTATTTCTTCATTTTGAGAGAGTGTCTTTCTAAGTCACAAGTTGTTCAGGCTGGGATTGAACTTGTAATCATCCTGCTTCAGCCCCACAGCGTGCTAGGATTACAGGCGTTTGCCACCACACTCGGCTAGCTGCAACTATTTGCTCACGGTTTTATGTGACATGGGAGTCTTCAGATTAAAGACCCAAAGACTCAGACTGAACCATCCCTTTTTTTTTTCTGGTACTGGGAATGAAACTCAGAAGCGTGCACTTGCCAGGCAGGCGCTGCACCACTGAGCTACATCTCAGGCCTTGAACTATCCATTTTTATGCTTAGATTCAAGTAACATGGACAGGTATGTCGAAATAGGATTAAAGCAAAAGGTCTAAACTAACACTGCTAATAGACTGAGTGGAGCAACTCCATGAGGCCTGCTGTTTCAGTCCCTCAGGGCTTCACTGCACGGCATCCCTTCCTCCAGGGTGTGGGGCAGGATTCTTTCTGGAATGGAGGTGTTAGCGTCTACTATGGAACAAGGTAGGTCAGAGAATTTCTTTGGGCCAGAGGCAAAGAAGCAGGGTAGAAAAAAGGTGAGTAATCGTTCTAGGTTTTCCGGGTGGCTTTGAGGGAAGGGGCTGTGTTTTCTGTGACCTAACTCTGCGGAAGAGAAATTACAGTTTCTATGGATTGAGGGAGAAGAAGGAGAGAGAGGAAGAATAGGCAGAAACAACAAACAACAGGATTAGACCCCAAACTATCAGATTAAAAACTAAAATAAAGGGGAGAAAAGGAAAGAGTACCAAAAAATGAATACACATATGATTTTTAAAGTGTCAAATGGAATGTATAGAAATTTAAAAATTTAGTCTTTGAAATTAAAAATAGATTTGACAGATTATGAGGACATTAAGGAGGATAAATGGGCAGATATGTCAAAAGAAATTATCCAGACTACCAAACAGAAAGAAAGGTTTGGAAAATAGTGGAGAAGATTAAAGGATATGGAAACTGATGGGGAAAAGTTCAGGTAACAAATAGGAACTCTAGCAGGCAAAAATAGAGTGAGAAGAGACAACCATTTAAGAGAAAAGATTAATAATTTGTATTAGTCAGTTTTCCTGTCTCTGAGACATACCAGGCATCCACAACTTAAAGGAGGAGAGGTTTAATTTGGCTCATGGTTCATGGGATTCATCAGTTCGAGGTAAGCTGGCTCCAAGGCAGAAACAGCATGGCTGGGAGAGTATAGTAGAGGATGCTGCTTATCACATGCAGCCAGGAACAGAGAGAAAGGAGGAACCAGCCGAAGAGGGAGACATGCCCCTTTAAAGGCACACCTCTTCCTAGCAGGCCCTACCTCCTCACAGCGCACTGAGCTATGAACTCATCAATGAGTTAATCTCTGGGTGAGTATAATACCTCCATAATCCAACCACCTTTCAAAAGCTTATCTCTGAATATATGAGATTTGAGGGGACATTGTAGATGTAAACCATTATAGAACTGCACAGAATTTATAAAAGATATAAGTACTTAGACCTAGGAAATACAATTCCAAAGAAGAATAAATTTTGTTTAAATTTACATCTAAACATGTTGAGGAGAATCTGTGGTATCCCAAAGGCCTAGAGAATTTACTTCATATGCTCCAAAACAAAGAAATAACAAAGACACAAACAACAAAACAACAAACAAACAAATACAAAGAGGAAGGTACAGAAATCCAGTGATAGAACTCTAGAAGGAAGGGCCAAAAGAGCCGTAGGACAGGTGAAGAGAGAATCTGGGGTTGATTTCAGGCTCCAAGCAGAAGGTAGTCTGATTAGAGAACTCCAGAGGGTTCTAGAATGTCTTAAGCATTGATTTATTGAATTAGTACTGAATGTGGTGCTTAATCAGAGACAATACATAGAAAACTAAGAAATCAATCAACCAACAAAAAGAAAACAATTATTATAGCAACTTTTATGCAGAAAAGATAAGGGATCTTGTCTCATTTCCTGAAGAAAGAAATGCTAAAACCAAGGGATCAAGAGAAATCTAAAGAGACAAACCATATTGGGTATCTCTCCTCAGTCTATTTCCATCAACCCTTTCTGTTCAGTTATACTTCCAGATGTCTGCTATTGCTTCATCAAACCTAAGCAGAAAATCAAATAGCTTCCTGTAGTTCTTTGGGTTTCTAATCTAAAAGCTTTGTGTCAGGTGAAACTATCATTAAATACATTTGATATGGCTTTCTCCTGTGAATCTGTCTTTTAGTTCAGAAGACTCAAATATCAGAGCATCAGAAAGTGCTATATGAGCTACTTAAAGATATCAGGTAAATTCTGAAACAATGAGCTAAAAAAGATAGAAGCAAGGGCTGGGGATTTAGTTTAGTGGTTCCACCACCTGCCTCACAAGTGTGAGGACCTGAGTTTGATCCCTGGTACCCCGCCCCCCACCGCCAAAAAAGAGAAGCAATTGCCTGTAATCCCTAAAGAAGGGAGGGGAAGGGGCAATGTTTGTTATTTTTCAAAACAAACATTCTAGAATTATCTGTCTCAGTTTTTTCATAACAGTAATGCTTATTTCTTTAAATTATATGCTTTAATAATTAAGAATTAAACATAAAAGTAAGAAAAAAATGAGAATTTCTCAATTTTGCTAGAGATTACTATTCAAAAATAAATTGTTTTCCTATATATAGCAATAACATTTATAAATATAATTTAAAGGAAGATAAAAAGCATAATTATAAAAAGTCGTAATAATGTAATAATCATAAACAATGTCTATTCCTTAACTATTTTAATTAAAATATGTATGAGATGCTTATGAAGAAAATTATAGTAGTATGTATTAGAATTTAGCTATAGTATGTTCTAAAAATTACACCAAAATTTATAATTTTCATCATAAACATCTTGTACTTCTTTTTTTTCTTTTATTGAGTTTACTGGTACATTTTAGGTATACAGTACAGTTACATTCATCATTGGGATCTTGTGCCTTTACATGACAGGTCTTGGTTCTCATTTTTTCCCCCTTGTCCGTGCCCTCCCTTCACCCCCTCCTCCCCTGCTCATTTACAAACACTTTATTTCCATTTTTTCATTTTGTCAATTTTTTTTCTTTTCCCTTATTCCCCTTCCCCTACCCTTCCCACTTTCCCTACACCTTTAGCCCTTTTCTTCCTATTTCACATGGTCAATTATCTCATTAGGATCTTATGTACCATTATAGCTTTTCACACCAGAGAAACTATTCGGTATTTACATGTGTGACTTATTTATTTCACTTAGGAGTGTGTCCTCAATATGTGTCCATTGTACTTCTTACGCTTAACTAATTTCAAGTAGAGATAGAACGTGATCATGGAGAGGAAAATTCTGCATCATAAAGATAAAATTTCCTCAGACTGAATCAGTATGTTTCAAATAAGACTCCCAGGAGATTAAAAAAACAAAACAAAATATTTTAGAGCCAGGCAGGGTAGCACACACTTGTAATACCGGCACTCTGGGCAGTTGAGGCAGGAGGATCATAAGCTGAAACCCAACTGGCGATTTAGCAATTTTGGGAGACTGTCTCAAAATAAAAAATAAAAAAGGACTAGAGTACAGCACAGTGTGAAGGCTCTGGATTCAATCCCTAAAACTACCAGGGGAAAAGAAAAAGCAAAGGAAAGTAAAAGCTACGAACGGCCAAGGAAATTCTGAAGAAAAACGTTGAAGGATTTGTTCTGCCAGGTA